GCATGCTCTCGCCAACCCTTTTTAACCTTTATGTCAGTGACCTTTCAGAGAAACTTAAGGCCAAGAACCTAAATGACGTAGAACTAAACGAGTTACCGTTAAGTTGTATGCTCTACGCGGATGACTTGGTCATATTCTCCAAATCAAAAAACGGACTGCAGGATTATTTGGATTCCCTCAGTGAATACTGCAAAGAAAACGACTTGTCGGTTAACCTTAATAAAACTAAGGCGTTAATTTTTAATAACTGCGGGAAAAAGATATCGAACCTGTTGAAAGTCTTGCGATGTAGCAGTCTGTCCTTCACCCTCCACCCTGTCCGTCTATTAGCCAAGTTAGCCACTTTTGAGCATCATATTCTCGTTAGAATGTCTGTCTTTTGTTTAGTTTTTCTTCCAGCGAAATCCACTGCGCTCACTTGAGTCCCCACAATCCAATGGCTGTCAGTTTATTGCTCCATGTCAGGTACTCCGGATTCCGACCTGGAATCGGGGAAATCTTTGCTCGTGGAATCAAGAATCTGGGAGTTTTTTCTCGGCTTTTTGCTTGTAGAATTCGAATTCGAGGGCTTTGGAATCTGTAATCCAGCTTGAATTATCAGGGATCCTGCAAACGATTAGAATCCGGAATCCAAATTCCACCGACAAGGAATCCGGACTTCCATTGCCTGGAATCCGGAAGCCACAGCGACCACATGTGGGGAATCGAGAATCCTGGACTGGGTTGGATTACCTCGCATGGGACTGGCTGACTTAGATGAATCAGGGGAAACCAACAAAGATTTCCTCCTAAATACACTGAAAACACATTTTAGGATATCCAGAGTCAGGGTACTTTCAGATCTCTAGGAATGTATTATAAACGGCGCTAAAAAATTCGTATCTGCTTGGTCCGGCATCCTGAGGGGAACTTGAGTCTTTTTAGAAATCACAAGGGTTTCAGTATTATTTTTCAGAAAACTTTAGTTGCAATTTTTGACATATCACGAAAGAGAGAATTTTTCTTATTCCTCTCTCCATCACGTTTTTGAATCTGAAAATTTCAGGTTTCTTTTTTTCTACGAAAAATAGCTTAAACTGGGGAATGAAGTGTGAAAAATGATTCTGCAGAAAATCGAAAACAATTTATTACATTTTAGCGTCCAAGATTGTATATGAATGGAAGGGTCAACTAGAATGTTTTAGCTGTCTGCAAGTAACAGGAAATGCTGGGCAATATTTGCTTCTAGATCGGTTGGTCGCTTACAAGAGGTGGTCATTTACGTGAGATTCCCAAGTTTTTCTGGTGGAGAGAGGCGACGACCAGAAATACGTCTGCGTTGGCGGGCTATAAAGCTAATTCAGTGGAAAAATTTGGGGGTTTTAGGTTAGGGGGTCACTTATACAAGGCGGTCACTTACAATTTGTCATACATATTCTTAAAGGTAGTCCTTACTTCCAAGTCTCTTCCGGATTTGAAATCTGTTGATCAATTTAGTGCATATGTAAAAATAATAAACAAGTACATGTAATAAACAATTATTGGATGAGGTTTTTGTGATATCCGGAATAATCAAGGTCGAGGTAAGTGTTATCAGCCGAAGCCGAAGGCTGAGGCTGATAACACTAACCGAGACC